CCTAGGTGTGTCGATCCCCCATTGCCACTTAACGGACTAGATCAATATCCCAGAAGTTAAATTGACTCGATGCTATACTCTGATTAAAAAGTGTTCCTTTAATTTTTTTGAGCAGTTTATATTAATAAAGGAGCACCTCTTTGATATTACTTTAATGACTCATCCATCAAACTTGTAAGGCCATGTATAGTTTCTGCCTATATTTCATTTGAGGACATCAGTATTGCCTCTCAGAGCTGCTGCTTTGAGCTGTACTGCTGCCCACCCTCATAGATCTTCCTTTTAAGGATGCTTCACAGGTTCTCAGTAGGGTTGAGATCAGAGGATGATAGTGGCCACACTTTATCCCCATAGCAAATAAATAGTCAATGGTGTTTTTTGCAACATGTGATGGTGCATTGTCCTGCATGAAAATATGTTTTTCCCAGAATGCAAGGTTATTCAATTTGTATCATGGCAGAAAATGGTCAATAAGGATTTCCACATATTTTGCAGAAGTGACTTTTACACCTTCAGGCTCCATAAAAGGACCTACAACCTTATTCCCACTATTCTGGCCCAAACCATCACTCCAATATACCTCCATATTGACGTCCCAGTCTAGTTGGAAATTGGTAGCCATTCACCAACCAACCCAAACTGCTTCCATCTGAACCATTCAGAGTTGCATAGCTTTCATCTGTGATACAACGGTTTGGAAATTTATCTTGATGTGTTTTTTTAGCACAATCCAAACATTTCTCCTTGTAAGTTTTTGTTAGGAGAGGTCGAAATACAGTTTTTTGCACAGCTGCAAACCTCTGCAGGATCCTGCATCGAGAGGTTTTTGGGACTCCAGAGATACCCCAACCCTTCAAAATACCAGTTTCCTGCTTCACAATTTTTTTTTAAAGTCGCCCTTTTAAAGCATTCATTTTTCTGGCTGAAACGTTCCTGAACTTGCCCTTATATGACTAAATTCGTTTGTGCTCTGAATCACACTCAAATCTTTTAATAGTTCGCTGATCTGTCCTCAGTGTTTGTGAAATATCACTTGTTGCCATGCCTTTTGCAAGGCATTGCACTATTTTACACTTTTCAGCTTCAGAAAGGTCTTTCTTGTTGCCCATACTACATAAAAACTGTGGCTTGCTTAATAATGTGGAACACTTTCCTTAAGTAGATTTCCCTTTATTTAAAATAACATAAAGAATAAAACAGGCAAAAACTTAAATTAAATGTTTATTTTGATGAAATTCTACTGATATGTTATTTGCATACTAATTTGGAACACAGTGTGTATATACATTATATTGCCAAAAGTATTGGGACACTCCTCCAAATAATTGAATTCAGGTGTTCCAATCACTTCCATCGCTACAGGTGTATAAAATCAAGCACCTAAGCATGCAGACTGCTTCTACAAATATTTGTGAAAAAATGGACTGCTCACAGGAGTTCAGTGAATTCAAGTGTGGTACCGTAATGGGATGCCACCTGTGCAATAAGTCCATTCGTGAAATTTCCTTGCTACTAAATATTTCACGGTCAACTGTTAGTGGTTGTATAACAAAGTGGAAGCAATTGGGAACAACAGCAGCTCAGCCACGAAATGGTAGGCCACGTAAAATCAGAGAGTGGGGACAATGCATGCTGAGGCACACAGTGTGCAGAAGTCTCCAACTGTTTGCAGAGTGAATAGCTACAGACCTCCAAACGGCATGTGACCTTTAGATTACCCGAAGAACAGTGCGTAGAGAACTTCATGAAATGGGATTCCATGGCCGAGCAGCTGCATCCAAGCCTTACATCACCAAGTGCAATGCAATGCATCAGATGCAGTGGTGTAATGCATGCCACTTCTGGACATTACAGCAGTGGAGACATGTTCACTGGAGTGATGAATCACGCTTCTCTGTCTGACAATCTGATGGATGAGTCTGAGTTTGGCGGTTGCTAGGAGAATGGTACTTGCCTGACTGCATTGTGTAAAGTTTGGTGGAGGGGGATTATAGTGTGGGGTTGTTTTTCAGGGGTTGGGGTTGGGCTTGGGCTTGGGCCCCTTAGTTCCAGTGAAAGGAATTCTTAATGCTGCAGCATTCAAAGCCATTTTGGACAATTTCATCCTCCCAACTTCATGGGAAGAGTTTGGGGATGGTCCCTTCCTGTTCCAACCTGACTGCACTCCAGTGCACAAAGCAAGGTCCATAAGGACATGGATGAGTGAGTCTGGTGTGGAGGACCTTGACTGGCCTGCACAGAGCTCTGACCTTAACCTTACAGAACAGCTTTGGGATGAATTAGAGCTCAGACTGCAAGCCAGGCCTTCTCATCCAACATCAGTGCCTGGACCCACAAATGCTCTCCTGGAAGAATGGTAAAAAATTCCCTAAACCTTGTGGACAGCCTTCCTAGAACAGTTGAAGCTGTTATAGCTGCAAAAGGTGGGCCAACTCCATATTAAAGCCTATGTATTAAGAATGGAATGTTATTATGCCAAGTTCACGTGCGTGTCCCAATACTTTTGGCAATATAATGTATGGCTTATCCAAAAAATTGTACAGGTTGAGTGGGCACTTGGGGGGGCCATGAAAGGTCAACTGCTTCCAAAGGGGGGCATGACAGAAAAAGTTTGGGAACCACTGGGGTAAAGTCACATAAACCAAACCATATAGTCTTAAAATAGAATTCCCCCCAGGTTCCTTACAGCCACACAGTATAAATTACTTACCAGATTTACAGTGTGAATGACTCTAGGTAAACTTATAATGTATCTAATCATGCCACGATATGGTGCAGATCAGGTCAGGTCGGGCATCAGACACTGGTACAGTGTTTTATGGTACCACGCCCAACACAAGAAACAAATTAAGATCCCGGGTGACAACCAGGCCAACACGCAGCCCAGTCCCACCCTCTGTAAATTTCCATCTATCTGCCACAGCAAGGGGTTTTGTGGGTGCCTCCTTGGCCTGACCCAGCTGCTCAAGTCCACAGGAATGAGGATCCTACGAACCAGGTGACCCTCAGGTAAATGCGCCACAGGGCCATAGTGCTACAACTGACACTCTCTCACGATGCAGGCAGTGTGCATCCTTGGGCACTCCCTGTGCAACTGCCCGTTCGACACTAAGACAAACCAGCAGGACCCATGGATTCTCTGAAGAGACACAGTACCACAGTATATTGACCACAAGAGGTCATTAAAGACCTGGGCTGGTATGCATAAAACTTCCTAAGAATGGTCGTACACTTGGACTTAAGAGTTAAAAAAATCTTAGCAAAAAGTAGGACCTTAGAGCATTGTATAAAGCTGCTAAAAGTAACTTTCAGCAAAGTCTAAGCCCAATTACTAAGTGCTGACGGAGCCAGCATTTAAGTGTCGTGAAATGAGGACTACAAATAAAATCCCGCCCCAAATACTGAGTTCAACCAATAGAGGAGCTGTACGGTGAATATATTAGTGACATTAAACCGTTAATGTAGAGCTTTATACAACTTCGTTTCTGTGATCACACCTTTAACTGGCTGTACGAAAATCTATCTAGCACACCACCAATCAATTTCCACTAATATATGCACATGTTTTATAAATTTTGGGTCAAACGCAAAACTCATAGCAAGACATTGGATTCTAAAAGAAAACCAAACTGGACGACAAACAAAACGGTTGGTGCTTAAATGGAAGGAGGTAGTGCGAGGAAAGTTTGGCTCAGCTGTTACAAGCACGGACAAAAAAAGCTTAGGAGGCTATTGCAAGCTCCATAGATGCTGCGTCACCTCGGACAAGGCGTTCAGCAGAGGAATGTGAAAAAAGGTGGTATAATGTTCTATCGACCTCGCAAAAGGAAATCACAGTTTATAAAGCAAGCATGCAAGCTACAGGTTTGTGTCATTACTTATATTGCTCTTATGACCCTCGCTATAATAGATGATGATAATAATAATAATAATTATTATTATTATTATATTTTTCCAGTTGCCAAAAACGTAGCATCATTATCACCTTCAGTTCAACTGTAAGTGCATTTTTAGGTGACGTAGGAGATGGTATCCGGTTAGGTTGGTAACAAAAAGAATGCCCCCATGATCGAACCTGTATCTTTTTATCAATTCATTATTGTCGTATGTCTGCAGGACGTCTTTTCTTTGACGGAAAGTGCGCGGTCTCCGTCTGGGTGCGCGTAGTGCAGCTGCCATCATTCAACTCCTAACTGGCTTAGGAGTCCTCTCCAGCTCTCTTAAATAATTTGGAAGCTGAGACCAAGTCATAACACTTAAGAATGTTTATGCATGCCACTTATTCTTAAGTCTGGGAGTAGGAGCAAAATCACGTCACTCTTAGAATTGTGACGCATTTAAGAGTGAAATTTTACTCTGAGAAGTTTTATGCATACCGGCCCTGGATCTCAAACCCAGACACTGAGCCCTCAAAAAGTCTAATTTAAATGAAACAAAAAATTCATCATCTCAATTCACTATTCTGTTTTTATTTCACAAACTCAAATTAACATGTTTTCCTACAAGATTAATATTATTATGGCGTTTGGAATGATTCAAACACAAATAAACACAAATAATTAAAAATAAAACAAAAATCATAGAAAGATAAAAATTCTAATGCAAATGGCATTATCAACAACAATAAAATTAAATATGATCTTACTGTTACAGTTACATGTTTTCAATGCAGCAATAATTTTTACAATAATAAATAATAATAATAATAATGAATGCAATGCAGTTACAATTTTTCAATATACTTTTAAAACAGATGATTTCATCATAAAGAAAGAGTGAAAGGAACCCATTATTACTTTGTGTTTAAATGACAAATCTGAAAACTTTTCCTGGAAACAAGTTGTGTAATTCCATTTCAGGCTAATATATAAAGTGAATGTTGTTATTCCTTGCAGACCCCTATTACCAGAATGCTCTATAATTCTGAACCATGAAGGAAAGAGGATGATGGAGTTTAGATGAACTCTGACTGCAGGATGAAGCTGCAGAGGCTGCACAGGTTCCGTTTCCATGACTGGTTACAGTTGTAGGCTTATATTTGTATTTACTGTTACTGCCTGAAAGATTAATACAAAAACAGTTTAAACAGTAAAAATTTAATACATGAACCAAGTTAAGATTACTTGTTAATCCATCCATCAGCTAAGCATGTTTCCAGTGCACAGCCCCTTATCACGTCACAGGGCACAGATGCAATGGGATACTTCCAGAAACCATTTCACTGAACAGGGCATGAGGAGGAAATACAGGGAGCTCAGGGAAAAGACCCAATCCATCCATTTTCTGTACCCGCTTGTTCTATAGACACAAGGTACGGCACACTCAAACACCAATCACTCACAACTACAGGTAATCTGGTGACTTCAGTTCACTTCAGCATGTTTTGGGACTGTGGGGGGAAACCAGAGTACCCAGAGGAAACCCCATGATGACATGGGGAGAACATGCAAACTCCACACACATGGAGCCATGGCGAAAACCCAAACCCTGGTCCCAGAGGTGTAAGGTAGGAGTGCTGACCACTGTGCCACTGCACATGGAAACAACAAAACCTCCTAAAAATGGACTGGACAACTTTAAACTCTCAAACCTGCAGGTATGAGTCCACAATGCTACCCACTGAGCCAACATACCATCATATAATACTGTTCAAATTCTTGTGACCTTTAAATTATAAACCTGAATCTCAGCATAATGTTCAGTTTTTGTTATATATCAACTCTTACCTCATTAAAAGAGGTTGTTGTGTATCCTGTACGGAATGTTGTAGGACTGCCTTCTGCCGCAGCGCCTCTTAATGGCTGCACAGCAGCCACACAGCAGGCACTGCGAGCGATTGGAGGAGAGAGATGTCAGTCAGCAATGACAGCCATCGCACACAGATAAGGAGCTCATAAAACAGTACCCACAAAAATGTTCTCATACTTACACAAAGGAGAATCCAGCAGGGGATGAGCAGGAGGAGGATTCCACATGGGATGATAATGGCCAAAGCCCAGCCAGGAAAGCCACCTCCCACATGGGTGATGTTAGCCCCACCAGTGGTGAGCGGTACAGTTGTGGTGGTACTCAACAGACCTGGAGGTGCAATACTGATGCATTATTTATGGAATGACTTTTACGATTCATAAATTATCAAGTGGATTTTGGAATGTAGTGTCACATTTGTGTTAGTTTTCATTTGGACCTCGACCAGCATGCCTAATGAATATGTAGTTTAAACCTATGTTAGTACTGGTGATAGTTATTTAGTTGATAGAGTCTAAATGACAATGTTGTTGCATAAAACATACCAGCGGCTTCCATGATTGCTTTAAGGAAGTCACTTGCATCACTGATATCTCCTTCTTTATAAATGTAGTCTACTTTAGCTATTATCTCATTTGTCTCACTCCTAAAAAAACAGAGAAAACAGCGGTATTTTACACTTATAATGGAAAAACAAATTTATTTTTTAGTTAAAGTGAAATAAAATATATATTGGCAAAAATGTGTGTTTTTTTTTGTCAAACTTATGTGTAGTTTGCCCATGGAAATTTGAAAGAAAAAGCATCTGATTTCTGCAATATTGAGTTCATCTGTGGTTTGAAGATTCATAAAGAAAAACGCAAAAACATTTAGATAAAACAACCCTACATCAAAGCACAATAAGTAGTATATAGGAATACCCAAAGCTCAATAACAAGGGAATTTTAAACACCAATTTGCATTCAAAATGATTAGTGTTCTCACCAGTTTGTTGATGGAGTCCTGGATCAACTTATACGTGTCATTCCTGTTCTGAGTATTTTCTGACATGGTCACATTGTTCATTAGATAAGCCAACTCGATGGCAAAGGCTCCACTCGGCAATTCTGAAACAATGTAGAAAAAAAGAAAAGTACAATGTATAATGAATCTTGATTACAACCATGACTATGTCCTGCCACTTTGTCACCAAAAATGTAAATATTCTATACATTAAAGAAAAAACATTTAGATATAAAACTATAAAGGTAAAATAAGAGGAAAAGTTGTTCATATAAAGTGAAGTAAACATTCCCAGGAATTTCACATTTGTAAAAAAGCAAAGTCTGTTCATGGAGAGACCCAAGAGAAACTTACTTTGATAAGTTGCAGTCTGCAAGATCTTAGGTTGACTCAGACCTTTGGTTTGTGAATGTAGGTAATTGTTGATCACATTAACTATCATGGTTTCATTAAGGTGGCTCTTTTGGAAAATGATTCGGATGTTGATTACTACTGATCCCATCCTAAAAAAAGAAAAGAACATACATGTTAATTTAAATATGTAAAAAAATAAATATTGGCGATGTAATTTATTAAAATAAAACAACTAGATTACTAAATTTGAAGGCTAAAACACTAAAGCAAAGTCTGGAAAAAAAATCTTACCTAGTCTTTGACACCGTCGTTGATGAAGTGGTTGAAGAAGTAGTTACGATTCTTGTGATGCCCATAGTTTTTGGGAATGCAAAAATAGTAATTGCAGACGTTTGTGTTGTTAGGGCTCTAGAAGTTGTGCTGGTTGCTGTGGTAGGTGATGTTGAAGATGTAATAACTTTAGCAGTTGTTGGAGAGGAAGTGGTACTTGCAAGCAATTTTGTTGTTGAGGCTGCAGAAGTTGAATTAGTTGACCTACTGCTTGTCATTGTGGAAACTGATGTCGAAGACTTCTGGGCTTCGGTGGTTTTTAGAACTGATAACATGGTACTTGCAGAAATTTCTGTAGTGGCTGTTGCAGTTGTGCTAGTAATACTACGGGGTGTCACTGTGGAACCTGATGTGGAAGATGTCAGAGTTCCTGTGCTTGATGGAGTTGAAGAAGTGGTAGAAGTTTCTGATATGGCTGCTGCAGTAGTGCCGACTGAGCAATTGCTTCTCTGTGTGGAAGCTGATGTGGAAAATTTGGAGGTTTTTGGACTTGCAGAAATATTTGTGGTGACTGCTGCAATTGTGCTGGTGTGGCTACTGCTTGTCGCTATGGAAGCTGATATTGACAACTTCTGGGCTTCAATGGTTTTTGGAATTGAAGACATGGTACTTGCAGAAGATTCTTTTCTGGTTGCTGCAGGTGTGCTGGTTGGGCTACTACTTATCACCGTGGAAGTTGTCTGGGCTTCTGTGGATGTTCGATTTGATGTAGCTGTACTTGCAGAAGTTTCTGTTGTGGTTGCTGCAGGTGTACTAGTTGGGCTACTGGTTATCACTGTGGAAGCCAATGTGGAAGATGTCTGGGCCTCTACAGATGTTGGAGCTAACGAAGTGGTACTTCCAGACGTTTCTGCTGTGGCTGCAGGTATGCTTGTTGCGCTATTGCTTGGCACTGTGGAAGCCGATGTCGAAGTTGCCTCTGCTTCTGTTGTTGGATTTGAAGTGATACTTGTCGATGTTTCTGTTGTGGATGCTGCTAGTGTGCTACTTATCACTGCAGTTGGTAGAGGTAAAAAAGTGGTACTTCCAGATGTTTCAGTTCTGGTTGCTGCAGCTGTACTGGTTGGGCTACTGCTTATCACCGTGGAAGCCGACATGGAAGTTGTCTGGGCTTCTGTGGATGTTGGATTTGGTGTAGTTGTTGGATTTGATGTAGTTGTACTTGTAGAAATTTCTGTTGTGGTTGCTGCAGGTGTGCTGATTGTGCTGGTGATTGTCACTGTGGAAGCTGATGTCGAAGACGTCTGGCCTTCTGTGGATGTTGGACTTGAAGCGGTACTTGTCGAAGTTTCTGTTGTGGTTGGTGCAAGTGTGCTGGTAGGGCTGCTGCTTATCACCGTGGAAGCCGACGTGGAAGTTGTCGGGGCTTCTGTAGATGTTGGATTTGATGTAGTTGTTGGATTTGATTTAGTTGTACTTGTCAAAGTTTCTGTTGTGGTTACTGCAGCTGTACTGGTTGGACTATTGCTTATCACCGTGGAAGCCGACGTGGAAGTTGTCTGGGCTTCTGTGGATGTTGGATT